AAAAATGAACTTCGTAATAGTATAGGTGATGAATTTTGTAATGGTTGTGTAGTGCTCATTTCTTTAACATAAAATAAATGAGGGTGCTTGCAAGAGTGAATTATTAGTTGTAATTGGTAAGAGAAGCTAGCAAAATTTGGACTTCATTTCTTAGTTTTTTAAGAAATGAAGAGTTTTTAACTATAACGTTTAAATAGTTGTATGCTTATATGGTTATACAATGTTATTTATAGTAACTTTATAATAAGGGAATTGAGTACCCACGAGCCTAAGATCTTGGATCCGCCACTGTCAAAAAAGGGTCTCAAGAAAATATCAATTTTTGGAAGCTTTTTCCAACAAGTAATAAAATTATAGATTTTTTTTTTAATGAGAATAGTATGAATTTCATATATTTTTTTGTGAAATTCATTAATTTTTCGAAAAATTTTAATAGAGAGGTGGAAGTTGTTATGTTTTAAATACTTCGAGGATGTTTTTTTGTTAAGAAAGATAATTTATGGATGTATTTTAAATTGAGAGTATAGTTTAAGGATGTTTTTAGCCAATATATATATATATATATATATATATATTATATCATATCATATATTACTAAAAGTGGGAAGCACATATCTTCAAAGTTAGATTACAATTTTACCCTATAGTTAATCATCATATCATATCATATCATATCATATATTACTAAAAGTGGGAAGCACCTATCTTCAAAGTTAGATTACAATTTTACCCTTATAGTTAATCAAAATGTAATAAATACAACATCTAATCTAATTAAATAATAATAAAAATATATTATCTCTTCAAAATTAATATACATAAATGTAAAATCACTAAATTATCCACACACAAAAAGAGAGTGCACTCTTTGGCATTCATATTCCAACTAAAAGAATGATGCTTATTATGTTTCCAGTCAAATTAATGAAATGTTACGGAAATTCATGGGGAGAGAACTGAGGTGAATGTATCCATAATAAAAAATAACGATATTTATTATGGCTTGGAATATGTATCTTTGTATATATAGTTTAATTTTGTGTTGTTTCTGTTCAAAGTAGAATATTAGTCTGAGGTGAATGTATCCACATGAATAAAAATGGAGAGAAATAAAACGAGTGTTTAAAGTTAGATTACAATTTTTTCTTATATTTAATTAAAATAAAACACATAATCTAATTGAAATAGTAGTAATTGTATTTAAATTTACATGAGATTTGTGCATCTACAGATATTCAAAAGTCCAATTTAAGTGTGCGTTATTAATTGCTAAATAGTTTGGAGAATATGAAGAGTTGCATTGAATAATTAAATGTATATTAATTAATTAGGAGAAATAAATAGTTTGGAGAATAGGAAGAGTCGCATTGAATAATTAAATGTAGACTAATGAAAGAAAAGGTTCAAGGAGTGCAAATTGAAAAATAGCTATAAAAAGGCAAGAAAGGATTCTTGAATTCTTACTCACCAATTTTATAGGCTCTTGCATAATTTTAATATCTTAATTAATTTCATCTTCTTTTTTGTTCTTGAAGAGAAAGCAACAATTTGAGAGGATGGGAAGTACCTAGAGCTATTGGCGTCTAGAGTTCGATTAGTCAGTAACATTAACTTCACTAAACAAAGTTCAACACAAATTTATTGTAATGCACAATGTTTATGTGTCATTGTATATGAAAGTTTAGTAACATATATTATTATTCCGGCATGGAATATTTTAATTTTAGCATTCAAATATTATTGTTATACTTTTAGTAGTTGTTTCTACTGTATATATAAAGATAGAATTGACATGTGTTTTAATTTCTTTATTTTAGTAAGAATAAGCCTACATTTTTTAAAACCAATATATTTAACTATTATATACTCCCCCATCTCAATAAAAAAAGTTTGAACAAATTAACATGGAATACACGTGCAAAGCACGTCTCCAGATACTAGTATATAGAATACATTTGACTTGGTGCTCACTTGTAGGAAGATTCCCCGCTCTGAAGTCAAGTCTTTTTTGGAGCTCCTTCCTAAGAGGTTGGGATTAGTTATCTTCGCATTTTATTTTTTAAATTGATAACTTACTAACTATCTTGGTTAGGGTCTTAGTTTAGTGAATCAAATCATACCCATTAGTTTTAACGTATATCATGAAGCAAGGAGTTTGAGAAATGGAGAGCAGCTGGATCAAAACAAAATAGTCCTTGTAGGACAAAGGAATATGATATAGAATTTTGAAAAAGTTTCAGAATGAATGGTATATGTAATTACACCTTCATCATGCCTGCGTCATAGGGAATATCAAACTTTGGTAGCCAGGGCTGTTGTGTGTTAATGAATTTACCGGCAGTGTATTTGTTAATAGCGTCTCCTGAAATTCCCTTTTGGTAACCTCTCCATGTTGAGACTCTTTTGCCAAGTGCAGCACCTGGTCCTCTGTTTTGATACTCTGCATAAAAACATGTGTGTAGTCCAAAATCAGTTGAGTTCCATGGTGCCCATCCTGTGGGATCGATGAATGCATCGATGTTCGATTGCATTATGATGGTCTTGGAATACTCCTTCCATGGACGTCCAAGATAGGCTTTGATTGGTGGAGTGGTACTAGTGAATGCTGGATCAGCCTTGATGTCACAATTCTGGATAACGAATCCACCAAACGAAGTTGGTACTGTCCTTCCTTGAGCAGTGATCATGCAAGCTTGTGCATTACCTGGTTTCCTCACAATCAATTTGCAGTTTTGGAAAACAGCACTTGCATCACCAAAGATGAAATCAACGGTGCCTGTAATGGTACAATCACGATAGAATTGTCTGAATGAGTGAGCGTATAAAGTGTCTTGATATCCATCGATTTTGCAGTTGTGGACAACAGCCTTATCAGCATTAATTCTCAATGCAACAGCTTGTTCTTTTGCAGGTCCTGCTGTGTTTTCAATACCGATGTCCTTGATAACGAAACCTTCACCAGCAACACCAAGGGCGCATGTATGCCATGTTGCATAACCGTCATGCTTTACTCCCCTGTCACCGGTGATTATGGTCTTGGTTGGGCCTTCACCAATAAACACAACATTTGGCTTGTTCTTATCGATTTCAATGTGTTCCTTGTATGTACCGGCCTTGATCAGGATAACGAAAGGAGTTGGATTGTTCTTGGGGACAGCGTTAACTGCTTCCTGAATGGTTTTGTATTGTCCGCCTCCACTGGCAGAAACCACAGCATTAGGCTTGGAGGCAGAAATTTGAACAAGTTTACGGTTACTGGCTTCGACAAAGGAGTCACTGTCTGATAACAATTTGCGGGTAAGTCCTGTGGTTTGTGTGATCATTTCACCGAAGCTGTTGACCATGGAAAGAGCATTGATACTCAGCTCCCGGGTGGTGTTCATTAGCTTCACCATTTGGTTGCGGGTTGCACTGTATTCTGATTTGGTAAAACCATCTAAACAAGTCTCTTCATAAGCAACTACAGCGCTAAGCCATGACTTGAGGTCATCCACTATATCCTTGATCTTAGAGAAATCAAAGTTCTCTATCTTTGCGACAGAGCCCCTTAGATCCTCAACGGCTAGATCAAACAACTCTTCACAAGCAAGGAGAGCGTCTTTGGTGTAAGGATCACTGGCAGCTTTCTTAATTGGCTCAGTGTTCTTGAGGGCATTCTTGATGTCTGCCACAGTGGCTTCGAATGCAACCTTGATGTAGTCCTTTGGATCGGACACATTCTTTGCCGCGGAGAGGGTCTTTTCACAAGTTTGTTTGTATGGTGTGGGTTGACACATAGATTCAACTGACTTTGTTGAAGTTGCAACTCCATTTGATGAAGTATCCGAGTCATGTTTAGTCAGGGTGACACAGGCTGCCACCACACAAGCCACCACAAGAACAGAAGCTATTCCACCAATGAACACCTTGTTTGCCATTTTCTTTGTTTTTTTTTCTCGTTTTATTTAATATTTATTTTTTTGGATTTTGGGGGGATTCCCTATGAAACAACCCCTATGGTTCTTCTAATAAGTGAAGAACTCAAGAGGGATTTATTGAGGGATGTATATATTTAATTCATGTTTGATGATTTTTCCTGTCTTATTTCTGTATTATTTATAGTATGAAGGAGCAACAAGTTTTGTTTGGATTACCTTAAATTTCTCTTTGGAATAGTGTCATCCTCTCAATTCTAAAGGTATAATTTTACTTTGTTAATACTACTAAATTTGCTCCCTTCCATTAGTTTCCCACAAAAATAGACTTACCTCTCTCTCTCTCTCTCACACACACACACACGCACACACCTTCCTTGACAAAAAAAAAAAAAACAATTCTGAGAAATATTATAATACTAAGTTATATTTGTTGAATCTTCATTTTCATTGGACTTCCCTTCTTTAATACTTATGTATTCAGAATGTTACAAAAAAGGTTGTTAATTAATTGAAAGTTTCAAGTTTCAATTACAACTTCTAAAAGACAATATTCTAAACTATGAGTAAAATAATCATAGGATAAATTCATTCATAATGAAGTGAACAAGGAATTTCAGTGCTTCTCAATATGAGGCTTATTGATATTGAATATTGATTTTGAATTTGAATTTGATTTTTAGAAAAGAATCACCAATAACAATGATGAATCTTGAATTCTTGTCAAGCCAAAAATAGGGAAGAATCACCAATAACAATTATTAGGACCGTTTTCGATACTTAAGTTAAAAAACTTCATAACTTGGTCTGATCTTAATACTTTTACTGCTTTTTTATTTTATTTCGTATAATGTTGACTTGAGTTGATTTGAGACGAAGAAAAATAGTCGTATATATTGTTGTTGTTGTTGTATTATTGGACGGTAAAAAAAAGACAAAGTACGGAATCATATATAGGTGGATAGAAAAAAACATATTATTATTATCATCTTAATGATTGTGTAAACAAATTGGATGAATATAAGATAAGTTTTTATTGTCTAAACAAAGGAGCAAAAATAGATTAATTATCTAAAACAAAATAGCCCTTGTAGGACGGAGACACGAATAGGAAAAGGAAATAAAAGTTTGGATAATTTTAGGAAGTTACACAATGAATGGTATATGTAATTACACCTTCATCATGCCAGCATCATAGGGAATATCACCCTTGGGTAGCCAGGGTGATTCGGTGTTAATGAATTTGCCGGCAGTGAATTGGTTAATAGCGTCTCCTGAAATTCCCCTTTGGTAACCTCTCCATGTTGAGACTCTTTTGTCAAGTGCGGCACCTGGTCCTCTGTTCTGATACTCTGCATAGAAACATGTGTGTATTCCAAAATCAGTTGTGTTCCATGGTGCCCATCCTGATGGATCGATGAATGCATCGATGTTTGATTGCATTATGATGGTCTTGGAGAACTCCTTCCATGGACGTCCAAGATAGGCTTTAGTGGTGCTAGGGAATCCTGGCTCAGGCTTGATGTCACAATTCTGGATAACGAATCCACCAACACTAGTTGGTACTGTCCTTCCTTGAGCCGTGACCATGCAAGCTTGTGTATTACCTGGTTTCCTCACAATTATTTGGCAGTTTTGGAAAACAGCACTTGCATCACCAAACATGAAATCAATAGTGCCTGTAATGATACAGTCACGGTAGAATTGTCTGAATGAGTGAGCGTATAGGGTGTCTTGGAAACCATCGATTTTGCAGTTGTAGACAATGGCTTTATCAGCATTAATCCTCAATGCAACAGCTTGTTCTTTTTCGGGTCCTGCTGTGTTTTCAAGACCGATGTCCCTGATAACAAAACCTTCACCAGCAACACCAAGGGCGCATGTATGCCATGTTGCATAACCGCCACCATTCTTTACTCCCCTGTCACCAGTGATTATGGTCTTGGTTGCGCCTTCACCAATAAACACAACATTTGGCTTGCTCTTTTCGATTTCAATGTGTTCCTTGTATGTACCGGCCTTGATCAGGATAATGAAAGGAGTTGGATTATTCTTGGGGACAGCGTTAACTGCTTCCTGAATGGTCTTGTATTGTCCGCCTCCACTGGCAGAAACCACAGCATTAGGTTTAGCGGCAGAAATTTGAAGGAGCTTACGGTTACTGGCTTCGACAAACGAGTCACTGTTTGATAACAATTTGCGGGTAAGGCCTGTGGTTTGTGTGATCATTTCACCGAAGCTGTTGACCATGGAAAGAGCATTGATACTCAGCTCCCGGGTGGTGTTCATTAGCTTCACCATTTCGTCACGGGTTGCACTGTATTCTGATTTGGTAAAACCATCTAAACAAGTTTCTTCATAAGCAACCACAGCGCTAAGCCATGTCTTGAGGTCATCCACCACGTCCTTGATCTTAGAGAAATCGAAGTTCTCAATCTTAGCGACAGAGCCCCTTAGATCCTCAACGGCTAGATCAAACAACTCTTCACAAGCATGGAGAGCGTCTTTTGTGTAAGGATCACTGGCAGCTTTCTTGATTGGCTCAATGTTCATGATGGCATTCTTGATATCTGTCACAGTGGCTTCGAATGCAACCTTGATGTAGTCCTTTGGATCGGACACATTCTTGGCGGCGGAGAGGGTCTTTTCACAAGTTTGTTTGTATGGTGTGGGTTGGCACATAGATTCAACTGACTTTGTTGAAGTTGCAACTTCATTTGATGAAGTATCAGAGTCATGTTTAGTCAGGGTGAGACAGGCTGCCACCACACAAGCCACCACAAGAACAGAAGCTATTCCACCAATTACCACCTTCTTTGCCATTTTTTTGGTTTTTCTTGTTTCTTTTTTTTTTTTGGATTTTTTTTTGGGATGGTTCCCTATGAAACAACCCCTATGGTTCTTCTTGTAAGTGAAGAACTCAGAGGGGTTTTATTGAAGGCTGTGTTTATTTCCTGTTGATGATTTTCCTATCTGATTTCTGTCTTATTTATAGTATGGAGGAGCAACAAGTTTGTGTGGATTACCTTAAATTTCTCTTTGGAATAGTGTTATTCTCTCTATTCTAAAGGTATGATTTTACTTTGTCAATACTATTAAATTTGTTCCCTTCCTTTAGTTCCCCTAAAAAATAGTACGACTTCTCATTCCTTCCTTAACAAAAAACCACTAAAACTTTATTTTTGTTAAATTTTCATTTCCATTGGACTTCCCTTTTTAATAATACTTGGGATAATGCATAAGTACCCCCCCAGCCTATGCCCGAAATCCCAAAGACACACCTAACCTTTACTAAGGTCCTATTACCCCCCCGAACTTATTTTATATGTAATATTCTACCCCTTTTTGGCCTACGTGGCACTATCTTGTGGGCCCAATGCACGTTGACAAATTTTTCAAGGATAGTGCCACGTAGGCCGAAAAGGGGTAGAATATTATAGATAAATTAAGTTTGGGGGGGTAATAGGACCTTAGTAAAGATTAGGTGTGTCTCTGGGATTTCGGGCATAGGCTGGGGGGGTACTTATGCATTTTCCCATAATACTTTGTTAATTAATTGAAAGTTACAAATACAGCTTCTAAAAGATATACAAAACTAGGAGAAATAATCATAGCATAAATTTTTCATAAAGAAGTGAAGGTAATTTGTAAAGGCCGTTTTCAAAACTAAGTTCAAAAACTTCATGCCTTCGCGAAAATTTAATTTATTTTTGAAAAATAATAAGTGACTTGTCACTTAATTTTTAGGAAATTAAGAAAACCATTTTAAAAGATAATTTTGAAAACCTTTAATTAAACTTAAGTTTAGGTAAGGGTTCAAGCGATCCTCTAAGAAAGTTACATGTGGTTGACCAATGGATTAAATATGTTAATAATGAAAATCTTAAAGAATTACTTGTGAAAAAATCTTATTTAAAAATGAACATAAATTATTTGATACTTAAACATTCATACTATTTCAAGTAATGGAATAATTCAAATGTCGAAGTTTCAAAAATAATTCTAATTTAACAATTTATCCGAATCAAAATTTTGAACTAAGCGATTAGCTCGAACGCATAAAAATGAATATGTATTATTTGATAACTATGAAAGAATATGAAAAATCCTTAAGTTATCCTGACAAGCCTAGATTTGCCCAAAAGACAAATTAGTTTACTTAGCATTTGTGAAATAAAGATAATTTTTTTTATTTAAGCCAATTCCACAGACCTTGTATTGTCTGTAATCATCGGAGGGTTTGACATTGATCCCTACCTTGCTAATAGAACTTCAAAATATACATGAGAGGAGGGCTACATTGTTGGAATGTGTGCGTCCACCAGTGATCACAGGACCAGATCCCTCGACAGAACAAAAGTGCTGAAAATAAATAGCACAACGTAAAACAAGAACAAGAGTTTTATGTGGAAACCTCCTTGCTCAAGGGAGTAAAACCACGACCTGTCACACAGGATTTTCAACTATTTTCACTAATCTCCAAGCAAAAGTGAAACACAGACTACAACCACAACAATGAGACCAAACTCTTAGTCCCACACTAAGTAATACTCCTATTACTTACTGAGCCAAAGTAATGCATCCATTGTCCACTATATTAACTATCACTAATTATTATAGACTTCAAACCGTAAGACGCAAAGTTAACTCTAACAATGTTCTTACACTAACTCACACAAAGGTTCAAAACGTTTCTTATAAGAGTGAAACGAATCTTACAAGTTTAGCACAATATAAGTAATCAACAACAACAACAACATGTATGGAAAACAATTCTTCAGTTGATCAGGTCCCTTGTTGTATGTGTTCTGTTGTGCTTGAATTCTTCCTTGAAGATGGCCTTCTCTTTGTAAGCTTGTGAATTTTGTTTGCTAAATCTTGAGTTGGTATTTTTGGGAAGACACTAAATTAAATGGACACAAACCTCATGGGACAACCCCATTGGCTGAGAGCCTGCTTCTCTAAAAAGACGTGCACCTACCACATCAGAGGTGGAAGCTTTTCTGACAGTTATCTTGTCATTTTTTCACATATGCAGTCTTGTAGGGACCAAGTCCCTTGCAATGTGTTCTTTGTGAGTTCTTGAGAAGACTTGCTAGCTCTCTATCTTTTTGAATGGATAATGTTGCTTGTTTATTGTTTGTATATATCAGTCACCAACACGGGCTTTGACCACTGAAACAAGCAACCTCGTCCGCCCTTCCTATTGGTGAGGTACGCTGCACTTTTCACCAACAAACCTGACGAGACAACTTTACAGTTGTACACCATTATAAATTTGGATGAGAGAACTCTGTGAGGGACCGGGTCCCTGTATTTGCGAGGATCATCAAAACACCTAGAATATGACATTTCCCCCCCTTTTGATGATGACACACAAATATTCCTCACACTGAGTTTATTCATTCATTTGCCTTGTCGTCAATCCCGATAACAAGGATTTGGTCCCTTGTTACATCCCTAAGTCTGTTAAATCATCAAAACTTAACTTCAGCTCCAAAATAATATGTTTCCCCTTTTTGATGATAACAGACTTAATCACCAGTTTCCCCTATCAACAAGACTCTTCAGGTAACTGGATTGGTCCCCTTTTTGCGTCATTCCCGAAGTTTGTCAAATCATCAAAACTTCACACCAGCAATAAAATAGTATTTCCCCCCTTTTTGATGATGAAAAACTTGTTCAACTTCTTCCCCTATCGGGATGACCATGTCCTTCATTGATTCCCCCTATCGGCATGACCATGTCCTTCATTGGTTCCCTCTATCAGCATGACCATGTCCTTCATTGATTCCCCCTATCGGCCTGACCATGTCCTCTTCAAGTAGCTAACATCATTGCTAACATCATTGATCTCATACCCTTACCAATTTTCTCCCTTTTGACATATTAAAAAAGGGTTAAAGCAGTAAACCAAGTTGACAGAAATGCAGTTCAAGCAAATTCATGGCCACTTGGGCAACACTAAACATGAGTAAAAATGCATAAGGTAATTAGACAAGTCAACAGAAACAAGGCATTTTTCATTCATAAAAAAATATTAGCGATCAGAGCATTTAAAATATTATTACGAATGAGAACCAGGACAGTACCCAATCAGTTTCAATAGAAAAAGAGGAATGAGGAATCACACGGGGATTTAGGAAGAGGGGTAATGGCTTAGGAGCAAGGGATTGAAAGAATAGAATTAGTAGAGCAAATTCCTTAACATGGTTTTTCAGAAACTTATTTTAAAGTTTAGCAGGCTTTGCTGCCCGGGCTTCATGTTGTCTACTCAAGGTCCCTCTGATTGTGTTGTTTTAGAATTTGAGTCGTCAGACAAACTATTTCGGTATCCTTGTTAGCAAGAGCAACTGTCACAGTTTCCAACACAAGTCTGAGTTTCTCATAATAGAAAGATTGATAAAATCAAACTTACTCAAGGCCTCCGAGATGAATAAATCAATAACTAAGGAACCATTTTAGTTTTATATATATATATATATATTATTTATCTTTCCTTTCCTTTTTTTCATCTTTCCTTTTTTTTTGTTTTTTCAGACACCCTCTTATTCAGAATACTTTGAGTTCTCAGAATATCAACCTTTTTTCCTTTTTGAACATCATCTTTTCCACCTTCTTCTTTTTGCTTGTTGGACCAGGTCCCTCTTCACACTCAAAAATTTCTCCATCGTACAATTCTCCAGTAGGAAGAAAGGGTTTAAACATTTGAAGGGTTTTTGAGAGAGGAGAAAGAGGGTTTTGAAAAACTGATTTTTGGAAGGGGATTTGATTTTTCTGGAGAGATGGAAAGAAATATAGAGTCTGAATGACAGACATATGACAATAGCAACAATTCTCATGCATAATTAAAAATGCATTGTTAAGAGTGCTAACCTTCAAGAACGGACCGAGTCCCTCTCTGTAGTTTGAATGTGTGTCACGCCCCGAGCCTACACCCTGGGCGGGACCGGCACTCAGAGACCATTGCTGGCCCCAAGCGAACCCTTGGCCTGGCTTTCTTAACTCAGCGGAAACTTAACTCAACAGCACAACTCAATGAAATGAAAGGTTATAAAACAACCAACTGCTGCAAATCTGGCCAAAAAGGCAACTCGAGTCCCAAAATAGAATATTTACATATATACATAGATAAGAGACTCAAAACTAACTGACTGACTGTCTATGAAGCCTCTAAAATACGGAGATGGATGTTGGGACAGACCCCGCAACACCCTAA